ACTAGTTAGAATATAACCTAGCTTCTATAACTCCTCATTAGGGTCCCACTTGGCGTCGTCTCCAACATTCTCGGTCAGTTCTGTATTTCAAATGTTTTGCAGTGGATTGTGGCCGAATTTTCCCTGGGCATAAACCGAGACAAGTTTCAAGGGTGGGGCATTGAAATCTTCAGCTATGGCCTATCACGTCACAATGTTATACTTGAACTCCTGTCGATAGCTAATACTTGAGTCAGTAACAGTATTCTTGCAGCCCCTTCGGCAGAACCCAGTATCACCCTTGATGGAGACGGCTTACCCTGAGGCGCCTGGACACCCGTATACAGCTTGCGCAGTTTCGCCGAATTGATGTTCAGACCTAACTTATTGGCAAAGTGGATCACTGTTCCTGATCAGACAGGGCCCTTTGTTCAAGCAAACTATTATTGCACATGGGTACCTTATACAAGGTACGGGAATTTGATAGAGTGACCTCAGGACTAGGTTTGGTTTTTGCCTGCTCGTCCTCCTCTCTAGGGCAGTCACTTAAGATTTTATCAAGTTATGACCAGTTTTTGTTATGTTCCCATGCTTGCTGGTGGATGCAGGTGGTGCTCTGGCGATTCCATCTTTAGTTATAGCAGATTAATATATTTCCAGTCGATTAGGCTGGAGTGTCCTTCTTACGGTCGTCACCAAGTCTTGATGGTGTGGTGTTATAAGGTGGAGAGGTGCACGAGAGCGTGTCGAGACGCAAAAGTGGCGTGCCGTTTCTGCTACCCGGATTAACCCTGTGCGAGACTGTGGCAAGTCGACAAAGTGGACAGATGCGCCAGAACCATGAACACGGATTATTTCGCATAAACTCATGATATAGTTTTGGCACTGCTTTGTCCCAATGGCAGCGAACCCATCGTTTTCGAAGGCTGAATTCAAACGCCAGATTAGTTTTGGAAACGACAACACTACGGTTCCATTATGGATAAAAATTTATAAAGTTTTGTGAAATATCATTTACTGACGATGTCTCGAGCACAATTTATTGCTCATAATCATATTAAGGTACGCACATATCTTTCTGATTCCACTCACATAAATCCATTACTTAATTAAATCAAGCGATGAAGAATAGTGGAATTACGTAAGCGAAATACAAAAGTTGTGTTAGTACCTTGATATGATTATGAGCAATAAATTGTGCTCAAAAAGTCATCAGTAAATACTACTGTATAGCACTGTCAAAATAAATTTTACCCATAATGGAATTATACCATACCACAGTGCACAAGTTCTATCCCTATAGTGACAACACTACAGGCCTGGTATTCACCCCCTTTTCTAGATGATGCTGTCGAGGTCTTATGATGTACTGAGAGCGTCTTTTTTTATTTGCTGTGCGCCACGCAGTGGCTTTCAGTGGACACATGTCCACCTAGTATCACCTGTCCTGTTTCAGTGCTAGACTGCAGCAATTTTGGCGCAGAATCGGAACAAGGCAGATGTACACGGGTCTTCAGAATCGGTAGGGGACATGGGTTTAATGTCCTTGAGTTATTTTCTCCTCTGGCTTGAGCCCTTCTGACTACAGCATATCATGTTTTATAAGGCTGCTTTCGACAAACATATTACCAATTACTATAACTTATGCCATATATGGCAACAGTATCTGCTTAATAGAAAAAGAATGAATAATAAGGTACAAGATGAGGGAAAAAAGGTTTTCGACTTAACCTAGTACATTTTGGTTACTCTACTTCACAGCAATAAAGTGACAGATCAACAAGTCTTGTCTATCTGAACGAGTTAGGAAGATGTGGCTACAGGTGCAGCACCTGAAACAGTAGCTCGAGACACCTAGACTTACTGCACAGAGATTTGATATGGAAGCAATGTTTGAGCTTAATTTGACTTCTATAAAGATCAGGTCTCACAACCGAATAATTAAAAAATAGATATTATCTGGTTAGAGAGGAAAAATCACGTCGTATTCAAGGAGCGCGCACCGTGTTTTTTGATAATTTTTATGACTGCTGCATGAAACTGAGACTGTATCTTTAACTTATTCTGTAGGAGGCGGGTTTCAAAAGTTATCCATTATATTGTTTGTACTTTTTTCAGTGTTACTCCAGCATTACCGAGTGTTCAATCTAAACTTAAATTAACAAATTATATCTTATATTCTCTCAGTTTTAATTGGTGTACATATGTTCATGCCCGTAAAAGTGTCTTGCTTCTGTCCCAGAAATAAGTCATTATTATTATTTCTGGGCATTCTGTACCCTTCACCTGTAGTTTCAGATTTCCAAGTTTATACTGATGTCTCTATAAACATATTAGCTCAAATGTGTGGTCAGACAACCGGCACCCCATTCCCTCCATCTCCAAAGTACTGTGGTGTCGTATTTAACTGAGAGAATAGTTTGAATACGTGACCCGAATTAGATTCTTGAGAGTGATGCACATTGTGAAAAGAGTCCATTATATCCAATATCTAATACGTAGTTTAGGTGAAGAATGTTGACTGCCGCCTTTTAACAGCTTTATCAGTAATTTTCTCTTTCATGCAGCCATGCGCTCTTGAAACCTTTTAGACAGGATTCACGTCAACCAACTAATGTACCTGGCTCAGCAGCAACAACTGAACCGCTGTATGCACAGTGCATATAACCATTGTAGTTTTTAGAACTCTTACACATTTCTAGATTTCCCTTTGTTTCTATGTGCATCTCAATTATAAATCACTATTTGATCTATTTACCTTATTACGTAACTGTATTACACTTATTCAACTTCTTCCATGCGTGAAAAATTATGACTTGACAACACACCATCATCGTTCTCCTATGAACATAACCCCCTAGTTACAGTTCGATCATTCATCACATCACTCGAATAGTGAATGTGAGTCTAAAAACAAAAAAGTAGATTGATACGTCAGAAACGACAAGGCACTTGAAGCCTCGTTTTTTCCGTGAATCATTTTAATTTACCGCAAAGTTCCGTAACCACGTCTTTGGCTGACTACGAAAACATTACCGATTCGGCTAGTGCAGACTTCAAAAACGCAATTTGTAAGACAACAAATTTAGGTCTATGTGGTCTAGGTGAAATGAATGTCTGTTGCAATCAACTAAATTGAGAAAGAAACATGTGGTGATATCTTCTTGCAATGCGCTTCTGAATTCGTTTCAGGTTTATGAAAACGAGACCTAGGAGTAGGATGATCAAATGTTTTTCACCCGTGATATTTCTATGATGAAGATTAAGTACTCGCCCAAGAAGACGTACAGAAGTCACCGCCTTGATAAATAAGTTATTAGGCCGGTTTATAAGCTGGTATAAAATCAAATTTCCAAGAGTTTGCTGGTCATCTAGAGCCCTAATGTTTACAAAGAAAACAAATAATATGCCACTTTCACATGTCGAATGCCCCACAAATAATGACAATAGTTCCCAGAGTAGCAGAAAAGGATCCTATACAATTGAAGGTAGGTGACTGTTTCGATTAGGAATGACTATTGTTGTGATTAATATATCTGTGTACTACGTAGAGTATGCGATTCTTCCAGAAATTCAACCTCTACCATAAACTTCTTGTTAGTTCAGCAGTCATGTTAAAGCCTACTTTGTCTAAGCAAGGGAAAATACGGTTAACAAAAAGTGATAATTAAAAATTATTTGAAGCCTCATTTTCACCTCGAAATCTTCACGTTATATATTCCACGTACTATTGGAAAATTGAATACTGGACTAAAAGACGTGGGAACTTGTGTACTAGGGCGTTACGTTGCGTCTGAAGGTTTTCCTGGATGTTTTGCTCATTAATTTTGCAGTGTGTAGGTCAGTTTTTGTCACTGGATGCTACTATTAGGCTTATTTTCAGCCTGAATTTCCCAGTTATTATGTTGGTAGTCAAGGATTATGGTAAACCTGCAATCCCCAGCTAGCATTTTGTTCGGGCGCATTGCAGACTTTTTGGGGCTGACTTCGGGACACTGTCCCACGTAAGTAAATCTACCTGAAGTTTTTGCCCCAAAAAGTCTTCAGTGCGCCCGAAAAAAATGCTAGCTGGGTCATTGAGCCAATTAACGTATGCTATGCTAATGTAGTAACATTTTTTATAAGTGAACTCCCTAACTGTTTTGCCATTGCTTATCAGCGCTGCTCCAGGCCTCACTGGACATATTAAGTATGGACTAGCATTACTTCAGAGCGAAAAGTTTTAATTCGGCACGCAGCTCTCTTTTTAACACGACCAGTGTCATTTTGGTACATAGTGGGTAAATAAGATCTTCAGTTACCATACAAAGGCTTTAACGAGGAATAGGTTAGAATAAGTTTAGAATTGTTGTAAGCTCGGTGGGCTGCGGTCTAAGTGATAAATCGAATTAATCGCCGTTATTCAGGATATGCTATGAACCAGAAATGCTCGGCTGGAAAACGTAGTAAATAAGACAGATCGGTGTAATTTATAACTGACTCCAAATCGCTCTCATCACGAAGCAATCAACTAAAGTATGCTTCAAACTGTCTCTCTCAGCCATTTGAAGGGAAATTTACTTGATTCTTGCTGACCTACTATGCGCAAATTCCACAGGTCAATGAACTGACAACTTAAAAATGCAGATTTCATACATATATCTATATGTACTAATTAAGGACACATTAAATGTTTAGAAATTGTAGTTGTATTATATTCGCCTAGTAAGCAAAAATGCATACATCCTATTTTGGACTTAAAATAAATGCATCGAAATTATTGTTGATTTATATTCACTTACTAGACATACTCATACATCTCAATGTACTTTAAACACCACCAATGCATCCAAATAGCGTGTGACTAACACACTACACTTACACCAAAAAGATTAACACGCCATTATATTATGGTAAGGTAAGCCCTAAATCACACTGACTGTAAATTTCCGTGTAAAAATAAAAAGATTGCCTCTTTAACTTATATTTTAGACCAATAGGTAGCCAACAGCCAATCTAAATCTTTCGTTGCGTCTACATCTATGAATAACAGTAAGCCAAATGAATTACTGGTCAATAATTTCAAGATTCCAAACTGGTAAGTCAAAAATACCAAATCACACATCTCTCTACATCCTGATTTAGGTCAGGCAGACCTCCGCCTGGTTTGCATTTGGATGTTTTAAAAGAAGGGAAGCTGATCCAGGTAATCTGCCTTCTGTCTATGGTTAATTAAGCTAGAAACTTATTATAGACGAAAAAAGCTGTTATTTTTTCGGCAGAAACAGACAATTGTGTGATTTCGCAGTTGATCACCAATCCTGTTCGCGGGTACATGCGGTCTTGGTATGGCATAAATTTCTAAATCGGGCATTCCTAATTGACCTCGGGAGTGTTCATGGAACATATATCGGAAAAATCAAGTTAGAGCCACAAAAGCCACAACAGGTAAATTTCGTCCATTACTTCGCTTCTCGTAGTATTGTACTCAAGTAAGGCTATTAGAAATCGGTTTAGTAAAAACATTTTGAACTGTATTAACCTTACCTTGAAATATCTATGAGTGCTTATGTAATTGCGTCTGCATGGTACTTCAATGAAGTAGGGAAGAAGCACCGCTGTTGGTGAAAAGTTAGTTTATGCCCAGCACTAGAAGATTTCTTTCCAGCTCGTTCAATATAATTTTACCACAAGTTTTTGAATTATACAGTGTTGTGTTTACACGTCGATCTTTCTAACAACAGGATCTAGCAAGAAATCTAGTTACTCAGCAAACGAAGTATAATTTTTTAAAATGGAATTTTCCCACTTCGTCATGTTTGCATCCCCTAATTTGATTTCCAAAGATGTCTAAAACCATGTATAGCTGACTTCTTGTTATAGACTGCTGTCTTATAACTATTTTATTTTAAGGCGATGACTGGCAGTACTAATCAAGCTTTGGATTCTGTAACATGCCTAAAGAACTATCACCAGATGATTCCCAAAAAGGCTGGGATTATTAGAGTTGGAGGGGATCGGCGGGAAACCTTACACATGGGTTTCGGGCTAGCTGGCACTCGTCAGCAAGGCGTATATATATATATCCGATAGTGCAGCTTAATAATAAATTGATTCGAAATCCTGTTCGCTGAGTCACTTATTAGTTTCTTGTGGGGATTTCCGCTGAATAAATTTGAATAAACAAGTCACTAATTTGTATCACGTAGTTATTATTCACAAGTTTAATGCAGCCATCATGTGTCAGCTGTTTATACTATCTACAAAGCATTGTAAAGTTGTCGGAAATAAGAAATTGTGTGTCCACTTTCGGTGGCTACTTGTCTAATTGATGTTCTTAATTGGCGTTGCTTACGAATACCCATGCTTCGTTAATTAACTTATTTGCAGCCAAACACATTATGTTATTGACAATCTTTTTCGCTTGGTAGTCATACTTTCTGGAAGTTTATGTGGCTTTGCTGTAGAAAATGATTTCTGCATCTTCTGAATCACCGGTAAACTATGTGCCGGAGTATATCATGATTAGAATATAAAATGCAGTTGCGGTATGCACCTACAGATGAAGTCATTGAATATCTATAACGTCTTCCTTTAAGAACAGGTTACAATATGCCGAAAGCCCCTTAGTGTAGTACGACGTCATACGCTGTTCACTAAGGGACGTCTTTTGGTCTTATTTAATAGTCTATTATAGTAAGTGGGCCACATGATTGGTATGTTAACGATATTCATTTACCTGTCAATACAGACTCAGTGATATTAGGCACTAAATTATCTAAACGGAACAATCTGAAAGTGTTGGAACTGAGTCGTAATCCATTATTATCCTTACTTTTAGGGTCCTATACTGATCTATCTGAATTTAACATGTCGTTTTACATTATTTATTCATCGTAGTTTATTCACTTATCAGCCACACCTCCCAATGTTTTTTCCGATAGCATAAATATATATTACTGTATGTAGAGTATTCAACTGATGAGGTTTACCAAAATCTGATGAATTCATTAAATCGTGCTTTATATACATTTGTTGCTTGTTTTAAGGAGATTATAGTTTTAGATGAGTCAATGCACTGTTATACTAGTTTTCTTATATGACTACAAACGATTTATAGTTAACTATGGTGATGCCATTTTATTCACCATTCAGAAAATCATTTGTATTTATTTTGTGACATGTATTGTATGATGTCTTTTGTTTCCAGAATGTCTTAAGATAGCTTCCTATGTAATATCAGATTGTTGAGCGGTTTTTAATTCTCCACGTGTGTTATGTACGAATCTGGATGCAACTGAAGATGTGCAAGTCATTTGAAGGATAATAGCTTCGAATCTTTCTGCCACCTAAGGTGTAGATTTTCCGAAATTTTTCAAAGAACTGGTCATTTTTGTATTCTTAATTTCGAAAATTGAAGGCAGAACTTGGTACAGAGTTATTGTCAAGTCACATTAATTATTTATCGTTGCTTCTCCAAAATAATAAACTAATCACTTCTATTTCTAGGTTCCAATAGACTCTGAACTACATTTCGGTGCATCTACCCGCATGTATATCATTCGTGAGCGTCCTAATCCCTTGTACAGCATTCCCGGAAATCTTTCGGACCCGAATTCACAGTCATTAGATGGAAATGGTGCCATTGGTCCTGAAAATCGCAGTGGTATTGGACATACTTCAGCTACAAATTCTTTGGAGTTACGTTATTCTCAGCTTCCTCAGTCTGAAGTGGAGTTAGACAATTTGACTGAATTTAATACGGCTCACAATAGACGTATCAGTAGTATGGTTGATGTAGCATCCAATCCTACAGTTCTTGCTCATAAAAAACGCAGGCGGCCGCCTCAGAGTGTACATTTCAGCGATGCAGACGAGGTTATTAATCCTGAAGATGTTGATCCTTCTATTGGAAGATTTCGAAATCTTATCCAGGAGACCTTTATACCGAATAAGGTGATTTTAAACATTACTTTTACAGTAGAAATATATATATATATAATTCCTACTTTTGGCTACACTTCGTTCATTTTATATCTTGCACCGCACTGAATTCAGCCTGTAATTTATTATTTTTTATTGAATCTAAAATTCAATCAAATTAATATGACCCGTTGCACAAGAGGTGGCTCTGGTGCCCCGAGTGGTCTAGTGGATAACAGTTTGGCGTTTAAAACTATGGGCGCTGGGTTCGACCCTCGGTGGGATCATCAACACTCACTGAGAAATGCAGGTACATCCAGGTCCCAATTAGGAAGAAATGCGCATCCTGGATTCCACTGCTAGTCACCATCAACTAATTATATATAATTTATTATATTTGCCAAGTATGTTTACTCTGTAGTCGTACATCATATGAATGATTGTCAGTCAATGTGAGTCTCTGTCTGTCTGTCTGTCTGTTTTCGACATAGAACTTTGCACAAATGTGCGGTAGTTCAAGTCGCCACACTCCGTGTAGCACGCGAAGCAAGAGAAGAAAGTACAAGAAAAGCATAATAGAAACAGTGAGCAGAGGTGTGAGACAAAGGAGTAATAACGAAGAACAATATAGTTTCATTGGAGATCATAAGTCACAAGGAGTGGATGCATCTGCGCCACTGAGAACGATTTTGAGCCATGTCACCAATTGTTTCCAACCATAGATTTTTACCGTCCCGAGGACCCCAGCCTGGAAGTCTACACCTTCCTACGTGGCTTAGACCAACTGTTGCGGATTTCATTGACTGGTGCTAGCTTCTTACCAGCCTGACCCTATATCGGCTAACATTGCTCGTCGAGGAAGGCGATGACTAGGCATACGTAACACATGTTCTAACCATCTCAGTCTTTGTGACTTCACAACTTCGTCCATTGATTTCCCCTGTTTACCTAGAACTCTACGCCTAACCTCAGTGTTGCTCACCTTATTATGCCACTTTACACGGAAAATAGAGCGCAGGCACCTATGATCAAAGACAGCTAGTCTTTTCATATCTTCCACTCTCAGTGGCCAGGTCTCACAGCCATAAAGGAGGACGGAGCGGACTGATAAGCAGTACACCCGCCCTTTGGTCGATAGTCGAACATCTCGTCTACGCCAGAGTCGGCGTAAACTGGCAAATGCGAAACGAGCCCCCTGTATTCGTGCTGAGATTTCGTCAGAGATCAACCCGTTGGCACTGGCTGATGGTACTTCCCAAATAAGTGTAGCGGTCAATGTGCTCTACCACTTCACTTCCTATTTTTAAACTAGGCGTCGATGTAGTCCAGTCCTGTAACATCATCTTGCATTTGGCGGGAGCAAATCGCATGCCAAACATTCGTAGATTGCGGCTCAAGGTGTTCAGAAGACTCTGCATTTCGTCAGCGTCTTCGCCTAGAAGGACTATATCGTCTGCATATTCCAAGTCAACGAGATTATTCCCTGGTAGCAAGTCAATCCCTGAGTCGCTGAAGTCACTTAGGGTTAAGTCCATTAACACATCTATGATGAAGTTGAATAGAAAAGGGGATAATGGGCATCCTTGACGGACACCACTAGTCGTCACCAGTTCAGATGACAGCTCGCCGTAAGCCCTCACCTGGCTGTATGAGTACGAGTAGAGTGCCTTAATCAGTGCAATATATTTTCTTGGAATTCCCTTTACAGCCAACTATCGCCAGAGAACTTCTCGGTCGACAGAGTCGAATGCTGCCTTTAGGTCAAGAAATATAATGACTGTTGGACGCCGGTAGGAATGCCTATGTTCTAGAATCTGTCGGAGGGTGAAGATATGATCAATACACCCTCTTCCTGGTCTAAAGCCTGCCTGGCTCTCTCGTGTTTGTGCTTCCCGAGCACCACTCAGTCTATGCATGATTATTGAGCCTAAGACTTTAGATACTATATTAGTCAAGCTAATCCCTCTGTGATTATCACAGGAAGACTTGTCTCCCTTCTTGTATATGGGGATAATCAGTGACTTACACCAACCCGATGGGACTTCTTCTGATTCCCATGTGAGTGAGTTTACAGCTGCGTTTTGAGGAAATTCATATACTGATTACCCTTATGAATTTGATTAAAGTTAAAATATCGGTAGCAGCAGAATAAGATTGTCACTTTATCTCCGTTTCTTGTCACCTTGAAATTCTCTAAGATAATCGGCGAACAAAACTCCTCAGTCCTCAGATTATCTGAAGTTACATTTGTGAAGTATTTGAAACTGAACTTGTGTTCAGAGAAATAACTATATATATATATATATATATATATAATTGTTTCCTTTAGTTCCTAGAGGAACATAGGGTTTCAGCCACACGTCTACATTGCGTTTGGTTCTCTGCCAGTGTCTTCATTTGGCTCCACATCTCCCCACTTCCTTTCGTCTCTTCACATGACCTCCATATCACCGCACTGACGACCAACTTGGCGCTTCCCATTCGGGTTCCCCTCGAGAGCCTGGCGTGTGATGTCACTTGATGGTTTTCCCAGAGTATGGCCAATCCACCTCCACTTCTTCCTGCATATTTCTTGCACAGTCGGTTCCTGGTTGGTTCATTCTCAGAGATCCCCGTTGCTGATCTTTTCTAGCCGTCCATCTGATCTTGAGTGGTATTGGGCGAAGACAGCTGTTGATGAGGGTATGTAGTTTGTTCGAAGTGCCCTTCATGGCGCGCGAAATCTGTGATCCGTATAGTAGCACTGACTTCACATTGGAGTTGAAAATCAGCATCTTATTTTTGATGCTGGGTGCTGTTGATCTCCACACAGACTCCAGAGTAATGAAAGCTCTCCTTGCTTTCCTGATCCTTGCTTTGATATCCTCGTCTGTTCCACCTGTATTTTTTTGTTGATATTTTTGATTACAGCTTGTAGTTGAAACGATGCTTCCTAGGTCGGTAGGTAAGTGAGGTTGCTTCTTTCAGACTCCTCCTATTTATGCTGATTGTTATCTGTTGTTGTTGCTGTTGGCCAGGAATCTTCATCACCTGTTTTCTGTATATTCACCTGAAATCATATATTTGATGCTTTCTCTGCCAACACGTTGCTTTTCACTTGCATATCTTCCAGTTTGTGGAAAATCAGACACATATCATCGGCGAAGTCTAGATCCTTTAATTTTCTTGTGTGGATCCATTTTATGCCTGTCTCCTCGTTGACCAGCCCGCTGTCTGTCGCATTATCCAGTCTAGTAGTTATCATTTGCCCTAACAATTCTTCCTGTTATTTGGTTAGATTTTTTCTGGCTTTTTAGGTAAAAACTTCTTGGTGTTTTATTAACTGGGTTAAATGCAACACATTGTTACTCAATCTAGCAGTCCTTTTTTACTATCTTATCTTTAGTCTTCATTACGTAACTCTTTTTTCTAATTATCCAGACATGTTTAATCAACTCGAACCATGTGTGTAAGGAGTATAAGTGTATCTTCTGTGAATATCTTGCTTTTCAGTCTCATGTTATCGTTTCAAGTACGTTATGAATTACCCTAAAAATACGTAAAATCTTATTGGTTGTTTGCGCCTGTTGAGAAACCAAGGAGGCAGAGTGATATCATTGTATAAAAATCCAACCATTGTCTTTATATCTGTATTTCGGAACTAAGTGATGTGGCTTAAGTTATTTGCTGATTGAGAAATTGACTTATTTCAATCACAAATTCCGGTCAACGTAGTGTACTCTAATCAAGCCAAATTATTTCTTAAATTGCGATCATTTGTACGGTAAGGTCAAAGTATATCACTTAAATTAGAAACCTGTAGTTGAAGTTTTGGTGATTCAAATCTAAACGTCAATTACCACTCTACTATACTATCCAATTATAGTTATGTACACCTTGATACATAGGTGATTGTCATAAATGCTGGATTTTTAGCCAGTGGGTTCCGGGTTCTGATTTCGCTACCTCAGCCACTGCTTGCTTATGGTCACAGAGAATTGAGTTCAAACATATTCCGTCAGAGTATTGTGCAATTATTCTACGAAATCATTAGTAATTTGAGTGAATAAAACAAACATTGTTGTGGGCCAATAAAATATGACTATAAGACTAAAAATAAGTACTTGATGCATTGCAAACTTTAATGATAGAATTCTTTCTGTACCAAACGAAAGATTAGACTCATAACTTAGTGTCCAGTCAAAGACTAAAAATACGTTGGGATTTTCCTAGTGGTATTTGTAGAAGATATGTTTATTGTACTAAGTAGACCTGCATTTGCGTCAAGTGCTTATGCCGTTACGTGGTTCTGGGTTTCTTACAAAACAGCTATATTTGCTGATAAACCAAACTGGTAAGATTTTGAATATTTTAAAAGACGATACTGAAGAATGCATCCAATTTACTGAGATTTAGGTACTCTGGAACTGCACGATTTTCTCAATTTGGAAAAGTTTTTCAAAATGAGATGCTTCTATCAGTTCTTGTGTATGATTAGTAATTGTAACATTCAATGTTAAAAAATTATCTTTCACTGTAGTCACTAGTGTATTTAGTAGAATAGAATCAGGTATGATGCAGTATCATAAGTTCAATGTGATACAGTTTACAGGTAAATTATTAATATATTTTGGAATGTTGCTAGATATACCACCAAGAATACCCACTTTACGCGCCCAGCATTTAGTTATTTTTAAACGTATAAATATATTCATGATAAGTATTGGTAATTCTTGTTTGTTTTGAAACTTATTTTTTATATTCGCTGCCGTTGTGTTATACTCATCGATGTTCTTTATAATTTTATTTCATCCACTAATATCGCCTTTGTTTTGTTTGTTTTCTTTCTTTTAAAGTCTGTTAAAGGTAGTCACGAAGGAGCCAGTCTAGGCGTTGCTGCCCCAGAAGTATCTGACACCGTTCGACCCTCTGTTAAAAGTAATACAGAGGTTAGTAATTCACTTCAAACATCAGGAAATAGTTTGATGCACGTCAGCAACTTGTTTGGACCAAGCTACAGTTTGGCCTCTAAACTTGGTTTACCAGTACCGAATCTTGCACCTGATGTCGAAAATGAACCTCAAGAACCCACTTTACCTCCGACTGTGGCTATGCTTCATGCTTACGCTCATTCAAGGCCCGGAAGTTTTTCAGCACAACTGTCAGAAGGGAAACACGGTGTGTCTAGATTAAGTGCCAGTGATATATTGGGAACCTCAGACGAACCAGATAGCAATTCTACTGCAGGTCAAGATACTAGTCTTGACATGGGTCTAGTGGAATCTGGCTATCCAAAGAAGAAAAAGTATGCTAAAGAAGCTTGGCCTGGCAAACGTCCAGGATTTCTGGTTGGACCTGCACCTTAAATTCTTTCTGTTTCGTTCTACCGTTTACAAATAAGATTTCCGATTTGTATATTCACTCCATAATTTTATAAATTTTGTCATGCCTGTCTTGGTATTCAGGGCAGTGATAATTCTGATCAATGATAATATTATGTATAAAAAGTTACACAAACTAGTATTTATAGTTTGTATACCAAGTTGTTGCTTTAGCTATAAACTGAACTTAATTTCCTTAGGATGTCAAGTTGTTGGTACTGCATTAATTTGTAAATATATACATACATTAAAAAAAATTTCCATAAAATGTTGCAATCTAAAATGATGTTGGGCAGCAGACTTTTGATGTTGTGTTCATTTTAGCTGCCTGTTTAGTAAGCTATCTGACTGTTCATGTAAGAAGTTTTGTTATTCTTTATTGCTGTATCTTTCGTTTATTACTGCTTGTAACTGCCGTTTCTGAGTAATTTAAAGTAAATAAAACTTGCCAGCTACAAACAGACAAATAGCATTCTAACATTAATCTTAAATAGGTTATTGAAGTACTTGGAATGCGATTCTTTGGTCTGACGAAAAGATATTTTTGACCAGGTCTGTAAAATTAAAATATCTTTTTAGCTTAATTTTCTCATAATTCAGTAGCATTACAGTGATATTTGAATGTAATGTGTATATTACCATTTTCTGATGCGTTCTGTTGAGCCGTTTTAATATCTGGAATATTCACCTAATCTTACTATACATGTCTTTATTTGTCGTAAAGTAGATACATCTTAGAAATGAATCCTAGACATTTTTAATCGGTTGCTGAACTTCGAGTAAGTAGACTAGAAGTAGTATACAATCGTAGCATTATTTTTCACTCAAGCAGTATTCTGAATAGTTGTAACTTAAAACCAATATAAAATTCACATTGTAAACGATTTTTGCTACGGATAAATTACCTAAGTTCATCTTATAGATGCACGTTTGACGTGATGGTGGAATTTCCTGCATTATCTATCTCTTTAAAATTATCCGTTTATATTCCAACAACATTGAAAGCAGTTACGATTGTAGTGTAAGCAAATTAAAATGTATAAAGTCATCGTTTGGCGGTCTATAGTCAATTGCTTTCTCCAGAAACTTCGTCACTTGCTGACACGTTGCGAGTGCCATTTTCTCTTTGCTACGTATTCTTAAAAAGTGGAATTCCGAGATGTGTGTACATAGTTAGCACTGGTCGTCAGTACACTTCAATAGACATTGCGAGTTCATTTATTTGCCGAAGAATCCACAACCTCTTTCCACCTTCAGTATCAATAGTCCCTTTCTCTTCCTAAATGTAACCGTCCTCCGTTTAATAAACTAAAAAGGTGCCAATTTTAGGAAACATTCACTGCTTCCAAACTCAAAAGTCAAATCCCCAAACCAAAATAAACAGGGCTTTATTCTACTGCGTCATAGATGCAAATATTATCACTGAAACAAAACTAAGTAAAAATCTATTTTGAAATAAAGTTATCTAATATAGAATTTCCCAGGGAAATTATTCTGTGGTCGACCTGCCAAAGTGACAATTAAGCCAAAATACACGCTATCCGTTGCCAGTAGGTTTTAGGCCTACCACCCCCCCCCCTTTGGATATGCGTTTCGAGATAACATTCACCATTAGAGCGAAGATTGATATATCATTCGTCCTACATGGAAATAATAAGGCTTCATCAGAACAACTCTACCGCAATCAGTTCTTTATATTCCTTTCGAAGTGACTCAAAACTCCACTTAATTCAATTCATGTCTTTCTCTACATGGTGCGATTTGTAGTGATAGTCTTGGTGGATATATTATGATTTATTGAAAATTGTCCAGCTGTTTTGACTGCACATCACATAAAAGTTTTAAATACGCCCTAATCATTAATTAATCAATAGACAACTATCTTGTAATGTAGAAATACTCTCTAGGCACATAATTCATTGCTCTTATCTTCTTGACTCTTACATATTGCTTGTAAAATCCCATCTCTTTTTATCCACTGCTTGTCTAGCAATACTTCCACATTATAAACTCTCTTCAAACCTCCTTAACAGATATCATCCTATCTAATCGTAACTGCGCTTATTACTGTCATCATTTTCGACTAAATATAGTTGTAACAAAAGTCGTAGTGGTTCTCTGTACCTTAGACTGTCGATTCCATAGAAAACAACATATTCCTCAAAAGGTTTGCACCATTCAAGTTATATTTTGACTTATTCTTATCGAATAATATATTTTTTTACTGTCGGAAGGTTGTGATCTGGGAGTTTTAGTAAAATATTCATTGTAACTCAGCCACTGAGTGAAACTATAAGTGTCGCGATGACTGTAAAGACTTATGGCACCGCCTGCTACCGACGTCGAAGTATGTAATACGGTGTGGAATCAAGCTGTAATCAAAAAAAAAAATTAAAAAAAAAATAAAACGGAATTTAAACCCGAGGCTTTTCTCATGAGACGCGAGTGCTTAAACCAACGAATCGCATTTTAAACCACCTGTCATCCATTTGAGATGATGTTTGCAGTTGGTAATGAAATTCATCTTGGTGAAGGTAAAGGGGAAAGCTATTTCGCGTCACAAAGTGATAGAGACGCGATCTCACCAGTCCCACCTGATTTCCTTCATTAGCGTTTTATTTATTTTGTTATCAAGGAGTGACTATTTGTACAGGTTTTCTATGCGAAGAAGCGCACACATTCTAAGAGGTTACTGGACGTCAGCGACTTCCTTTTGTACTATATACTGAGACGTTAAAAATTGGTTCTGGTTACCTACCACTTACTGAAGAGTGCTGGGATTACTGTTGGTAGTAGAATCACGATTGTTTTCGGTATTACAAAAGATTTCTTGACTTGAAGCTCACTATGCCCCTTCATTTCATGGAATTAATGGTGAGTTCACATTGTTTTGATTGGACAATAACTAGGGTCATGCGTCTAGTCGTTTGTTTTCTGCAGACTGAATTCTATTCCCATGTGAGTAGTAGGAACTGAAAGCAGAATACTCAGCTATGAATCACATTGTAATTAAGTCGAGTTGATCAGTTATATCAATTAATCGAGTTCGTGAAAGTGGTTATCATCACGAATCGACACTAACCATTTCATTATTATGGAGTGTAGACCGGTAGACAGACATTCCATTGTAGTCTAGGACTGTTCGGCTGTCCCTATACGGTACTTTATGTGGAATTTAGCTCAGATTTGTCACTTTTAGAGAGCAAACTACCATGCGACTTTTTGGCTGTGTTTTACTGATAGATTTTTTCCTAATTCAAGTGATTCTGGTACCAGCGTAACCAGCATCTATTACGCTCCCGCACCGAGTATATTTTCACATCTTTTCGGTGGAGTTTATGATTGAGGATAGGATAGGTCGGGACACGTTTCTGCGCTGATCAGTGACGAGTAACTGACAACCATTTATACTTAGAATTTGTGGAGAACTGTTTGATAATTCTCTCAGTTTTATTGGTCCGTGACTGAATACCGCTGCGACTTTTCTTATATATAGTCAAAAGGAATTACTATAATGAGCAAATATTATTTCTTATGACGCTGTGGATTTCTGACGAAGTTTCTACAACAGCTTTCATAACTACACAAGTCATAAGAAGATAATTCATTGTTGATAAATCTTCGCAAGAATGGGAATATAAGAAAATTCAGAGGTATGCACATGTATTGTACTGAATGAAACTTGATTTGGTTAGTTGGAGCCTATTCCAGTTGAAATAACCACTTATAAGTCATCTTTTATGTACAGGGAAACACTGACTTTACGCAGACTTCTCGGGAATACAAATATAGCCCGGAATGTAGACTGAGTGATCATAAAGATAAAAGTATGATATACTCATCACTCACAAAGTCATTTTCACTAAAATTAAGTAGCATTAACTCGAATTAAAATCTCGCCAAATTTACCACTTCACTAGTTTACTAGCCAGTCATACGGCAAGAAGAAGAGATAAGGTTCAGTGTGACGCTAGCGACCGTACCACCAAAAATGAAGTTAAGACACTCGGGTATAACTCAACCCCTCCTCTTACAGTTCATAAACTCTTGCATCCTACCTATTCTTCTTTATTGCTCACCGTTATTCTTTCCTGGTTTGCTTAAAAAGGACTATGTCACAATTCGTAGAATACTGAAGACTGTCAGTAGGGTGAGTGGTGTCCCAGTGGACCACATAGTTAACGTCGTTGTCGATAGGCACTTGACTTCATGAAATAAATTTGCTAAAGGGATTTTGTCTGACTTGGAGCATCCGCTTTACCCTCAGCTTTCACCTTGCATCTCCTCAGGTAGAACAAGGAGTAACTTCAGAAAACTGTATGCTTGAACGTCTAAGTATAAGAATTCTATGATACCATACTTGGCACGTATTTTATATGATGAAAATAGTGTCAGACAAGAATTAAGTAACCTTTTGTCATCTAGTAAATAAACAATTTCCTCCATCCATCCTTATATACCTTCAAGTTTTACTTTTATTACTTCTATTATATTTATGGTCCTGTTACTTCTCTGTTTTACTCTCATAATTGCAAACACCAACTTATCTCCATGACGTCAGTAATCTTTGTTTTTCCCCTCACCATATCATGTAAAGAGAACATTATACTCAATATTTTTAAACATGTTAGGATTTCTACACCACATTGCCAATACTGTGTGACACAAGCCAACGGCAATTTTCACTTGTATTATTATTATTGCCCTAGCTGTTATCATTATTATTGCTATTTCCATTTTATATGCTGCATGTTTTTGACATTACCTCTATTGTAAATGTGGAAAATTTTCTGTCTGATTAATTTTTATTTATAATTTCAGGAAATTAGATGCAATATTGGGATTAATGCTGAAAATTCCATTCTGTATCACAAGTACTGTTTTTGCAATAAAGTAAATCATTATTATTATTCTTATTCTTATTAATGCCAAATAAATTTCGTGTGAAAGAAAATCTTTGACACATAAAACTAATTTTCACAGAAATCGGACAGACGTAAAGACGTAGTCTGTTAAAACAATTCTGGAAGCCAGTCAGCCTAATTGTCTCGTCTCGATGAAAGCAAAAGTAAATATGGGGACATGGAATGTCCAAACAATTTACGAAGCTCGTGAGGCTGCTGACATTGCTAAAGAGACAAGAAGACACTCCATAGAAGTCCTAGTAATCTTTGAGAGCAGATGGAATGGATGTGGACTCTCCATTTGTTAACTTACCAGTCAATATTCTACTTCTATTACCAAAACAACCACCACGAGCACACTGAAGGAGTGACTACCACGATGTCACCAACAGCATCCAGCGCTCTTATGCAGTGAGAAACAATTCCCCCAGGTTCATAAGAGAAAGACTCACATAGGAAGGAAGGGTTTACAGTTGTACAATGCTACACACGTACGTAAAAACAAGGCAGATTCAGAGAAGGAGAGGAAGAGAGAATTCTACAGACAATTACTAGCGGTAATTGACAAGACAGGAGCCAGAGTGAATCGTCGAAATTCTGATAAGTGATATGAATGCAAGCCAAACTGGGACAGACAATACAGGAAGGCAACTCATAATGGGTTGAGAGACGCTCGATGGAATGAATAATAATGGAGAACTCTTTGAAGGGTTCTGTGCCTTTGATGATTTGGTAATTGGAGGGATGAGGAATAAGCGCGAGGATATCGACAAGGCGTTATGGGTCTCACCAGGTGGACACACGAGAGTTCAGACAGGCTTCATCTCAATCAGAATAAATAGGAGACACAGTCTAATGAGCGCAAGATGGGAATTAGGGACAGATGAGGGTTCACACCACGAAAGTACAAGGGACACGTTCACCGCAGCCATCAGAGCCACACCGGAGACATTATGTAGCATCGCCGAGGAAACGCGTTTGGAAGAGCACTGGAACTCTCTGAAGGTGACGTTTGAGGGGAAGCTGTAAAGTCTTTCTAGGAAGGAAGAAGAAGCAAGACACGGGACAGCACTCTACAGACACAGAGGTGATGAAGACACAAGAAGACCAAGAAATACCAGCAAAGGGAGGGAAGTCACTTCTTTCGCTAGTCTAGGCAGCATCGTTTCACAATTATAGGCGTCACGGATGAAGGTGTCAAAGGCGGGATCGAGAAGGAAAAACAGACCTCCATCATTCTGAAATCAGTCCGGGAAGCCACTGCACAAATCTTGCACAAACAGCGAGATTTGGATTTTCTACACTGATGTCAAGTCAGTTATAATCTATGGTTCAGGCACTTCGCGTACCAACAGAAGTATTTCCAACAGCCACCTGCGGAATTTTACCGACAGATGTCTTCGCTCCGTACTGAAGATAAGATCGAGGAAAGGACTAAGAACACGAAACTCCGGGGGTTAACCAACCGAGAAACTGTTGCCCAGCAAATATGCCGAAGAAAATGGAGATGGATTGGACACTCGCTGAGGAGACCGATGATGACATCGCGCTTCAGGCCCGAACGGGTATACACGAGCTGGGTGTCCGAATGTAACATGCAGGAGATCGTGTAAGGCGGAGATCAGAGCCTATGCTTAGTCGTGGAGCCAATCGGAGACAACTACAGAGAACCGGATGAAATACAGATGTACTGTTGAAGTCATATGTTCGACTCAGGCTACAGGGAATAACGATAATAATCATAATAATAACTTGCATTGTAATAAATAAGGATGTCGGTTAGCTAAATGCATACGCATGAATAAGAAATATTGCCCACGTGTTTCTAAATGTTCAATGAGAGACTCCAGAAATCTGAACAGAATACTTTTAACAGCGTTCTCAACTGAAATAAAGCTGCACAACAATCGTCCACAATTTTGACCCAGTTTGAGTGGGATATACGCACTGATGCCCCAACCCCATCTGAGGTTGGAGAAACTGTATCTTACATAAGACGGGAATAAACAAGAGGACCAGATACTTTGAATTTGGGTGCGATTAAGCAAAACAACGAAAGATTGTGGACCGGACAACAAGTTGGATTCTGGAAGCTCGAGATAGTTCTTTCACACCGGTGTAGATATTTTATCACCCCAGTCCATCAGAAGACAGGTAAGTCTTCTAGTCACAATCACAGTCAGAGGGTGAGAGTACTGAACTAGGCTAATATGACACCTAAAATACTGTCGACTTCGGTAAAGACACACGAGAAAGGCGGGAGAATATGAGAGCGTATTCATCGGGTATACATACCTTGACAGATTCTGCAATACAGACATACTCATTGGAAACCTACACTTGTATTCGCTCAGCAGGAGTCTGTGTAAGCTTATCACGCATTTTGTTCCTTGCAAACTATGCTTCAGGATAGGTGTGAATTGACTCTTAGTTTAAGTATATGCATTAAGATGGATGGACGTGTGAGCGACTTTGTGTATTCGAGAAGCTGCATCAGTCCTGGTAGGCTGACGAGTCCTAAACACCGACACAGAAGACTGGTTTCGTATTTGAGACTTCTACCAACCTCCGAGCTTACGCGATATCCTGTTACACACGTGAGGTTGTGTGTACTGAGTAGCAGTTTTCTGAGTCCCACAGCACTTCTGGGAGGATACAAAAAGGTGACAGGTGTTTTATGATCGCAAGTGTCTGGTCGTTGGCTCACGTTGAGGGGTTCATCATGGACGTGGTAATGTTGAGATTAGACATAGTGTGAGTCATGGGAGGTAAGGCGATCTGTGAAGTTATGAAGCCTCACTGATCGAGGTTGTTTAGAATGTCTTTTCATACACACACCTCCACCAACTTCCTCGACGAACTGGGAGAAAGTGTAGGTTATTTTCAGATGAAAACTTGTCACTAGTTCATGAAGTAATTGTTTATTGGTCTGTATAATGTAGGTTTATGTAGAATGCCTGGTTTGGGTCATCGGGATGCCAGGAATCAGGGACTGTTGACGACGCGGTGAGATATATCTCAGATTGGTACATTTATCTTCACACTTATGAACTTTTATACCCTGGAAACTACTGCTCCCCCTGAGTCTGTCTTCCCTGTACATAGAGTAATACATATGTGTTGTTCGAAGTGTCATGAAGTTACAGTATTGAGTGGCTAGGTATTATCTGGCCAATAATTTGAATCCATAAAATAAGAATTTTAACGAAAGGACACTGATTTCTACGGTGGTTACTTCCCTATCCATTTACGTCCCCTCAATGATGGCTATTGATTTCATTCATGAATCTCTGATGATAATATGGGAGTAAGTATGCCACTTCAAATACTAAGGAATAATAGCAACAAATGGCTTTATTGCAAACAGTATATTTGATACAATGTGGAATTCTCATATTGATTGTTGATCCTGCCAAACGGTAATTAATGATTGACTCGAACGTAGTTGGACATAAGACGTTCCCATCAGACTGGTTTAAATCCTTGATCATCCCAGTGTATAAGTAAGCAGATGAATATTTTTGTAATAACCACAGGAACAAGATAGGGGACCTCAGCTTGACTAATATAAAGTTTGAACTCACTTAACTATGTCAGTGCTTCCGTAGATTTCTTGTCTGAAATGTCAATTGATGGTATCTAGTATCAAAGTTCATATTTAATTTCATTGTAGATGTACTGACTGTGATTAGCCTCAATGTCTACTCGCCATGAGCGATTAGTTGGTTTGTCAACCAACTGCATTGGACGACTGCATAGCAATTCGTTTATAAATGGGATTGTTTTAATTTATTAACTGTAAAACTATAGTTTGCTAAATAACAGTGAGTATCATGCTACTTTAATTAATTATTTATTCGGTAATACGAAATGAATTCTTGAACTCCTTGTTATCTGAGTACATTTTAAACACGTCAGATCCAATTTAAAATAGGTTATCACGAGTAATAATGAGAATATTTGTTGTCATAAATTGTAGTTTTTGTTTCACCGTTGCTTACACTCATAAGTGAGCCATCATTCAGACAACTAAGACTGGAGTTGTGATAATATACACAGACATCTGGTCACAATATCATCCAACGGAATAGTATGAAAAATAAACGACAGACTAGTAGAATTATAGATATTTATCTAGATCACTAATCTTTATTTAGCCAGAGACAACAAAAGAATGCATTGAAATAAAACAAGCAGATTTCTGCATCCAGTTAATTTGCGACACAGTTCAACAAATTTTAAATGTAGAAAAGTGGTGTTAGTGATGCCAATTCCTCGATTATTTAATAATTCATTTGTTGCTCTACAGGTAAAATATTTATTTCCAAAATAATAAAGAGCCAAAAACAAACTGATTGTCATCTTAATAAACGTTTTTTGTTTTACGGCGTAATGAGATTTCAGGTGATTGAAATCTATCTTGTGTCTCGGAAATCAAAATGTCTGGCTGTAATTGTCTAGGAGGTCTATAGTCACGCATATAATTCGGTGTAGGATTGACGAGGTAACCTTTGTTCTGAACTCGATCTGCATCCAATTCTATATGTGAGCCCCTCCCATGAAAATAGGCAGATTCTTCAGAGGTGCCAACCATTGATGGTGCAGAAAAATTGTCCTGATATTCTGACTTTCCAGGGAAATCTGCCCACAGACCTACTTCTTTAATAGGATCAACTTTTATATTGTACCGTTGCATAAATTCATCTTGATTAACTCCACAATCTAACGAATCCCCTGGTGCAAGGTAGTTCTCTGTATTCACATTTTTACTCCTCAACCATTCTCTACCGAGATTCCACCTCGGAGCTATTTCTGGTCTTATGTTTAGATCAATTACATTCTCTACAGCTCCTTGTTCACCTGCTTTACTCTTAGCTAAGTAGCCCATATTACGACGATACGCACTATAACGATTTGTGATTTCCAAACCATCTGTATATTGTTCTAATCGTCGTTTAGCAGCATAGGCTAAAGGTGCTAGTTCACTATTTAATCCCTTCAGCTCATGTTGAGCCCAGGCATGCGCTGCTTTATACGATGTATCAGTCCAACCAATTCCATCAGTTTCATCATTTTTCTTATTCATTTCTTTTTTTCTGCAATCTTCTGAACTACAAAGTAAGGGTCCCATATTCATATTGACACGGTAACGTGGTAAAAATTGTCCGCCTGGATCTGCGAACTTCTCTTTCAACCTTAATAAGGCCTGTTTTTGTGTAACGAGTTCACGTTGATCGAAATTATTACACCACTCTTTGGAAGCCCCTTTATATAAATCATTTTCTAGTTTAATAATTGCTAGAAAATCTGCTGTCTTTGTAATTCCTTTGCTATTGTCTTTGTACGACATAAATGTGGAGATAGAGCCATCTGCCGAACTGCTCCTTGTAAATATTCCAAGGCTTCATTTGCTGACTTTTCGTAGGCTGAAACACCTGGTTGAACATGGTGTAATCTAGGGGCATAATTGTGATGTGTCATTTGAAAAATAAATATCTTTAGACTGAATATAAGTAAATAAACGGTAAACACTCTGATGGTTTTTAAATTAGACAATCGATGAAACCCATTTACTATGATCATATGGTTATTACCCACGTATATATATATATATATATATATATATATATAAATAATTTCAGACTGCACCAGTAATTTATAAACTATGACATAATAATTAAAATGTTGATAAAGTGGAGTGATATTATCGAAGTGAATATATTTTTTCCGGAAATCCTATGAAGCGAAAATTATGTGATATTTTGACCGACCTGTCTTACCTATGTAGCTGAATTCATAGTCAGTGGTATGGTATCTGTTAGTTCAAATTACTTTTATTGCTTGCACCAGTAGGATGGTTAAACGAAGAAATTGTGTTTGAATGAGATTTCAAGTTTGAATCCCGATGATTCCAAGGCTTGTGAACATTATTGTTTGCATATTAATTCTTGACATCTCGTATATTCTACTCACATTACTGCTTTTATTGTTATGACAACAATTTGTTGGGCACTTTTAAAATGTATTCCCGTGGGATATTTACTGAGTAGTGATAATTTTATAATGTGTTTAACTGTATTTGAATATCCTGTGAAACAAATTACATGTAGAAACCTACTTCTACAGAGACGTCCCAGTTACTTGCGTGAATATAAAGACATAAATTTTCCACCAAATGTTTCCATCGCCCGAGGTAAAACAGCAACTCATTTTATTGAGAAGAAATGTAGCGCTTCCTAAAATAAGGTATGTCTAATCTTATCTAACACGAAGTCCACAAATGTTGTGACTAATGAACTGGTTGTATTAATATTGTACATCTAGCTGTTAATCTCGTGGACCACACCTAAAGAGCAGTAACGTCATCGAAACGCGTAAATCAAAGCACAGAAAAGAACAATTCAACATTGGGATTAGGGAAACGCTTAACTAAGAAGGCGTAGGATGCTAGAGAGTGGAAGTATAAGAAAGCCAATAAGCCTAATTGTCTCGTCTCGATGAAAGCAAAGGAAAAAATATGGGGAGATGGAATGTCCAAACAATTTACGAAGCTCGTGAGGCCGCTGACATTGCTAAAGAGATAAGAAGACACTCCATAGAAGTCCTAGTAATCTATGAGAGCAGATGGAATGGATGTGGACTGTCACCTTTTCGTTTCCTCCCAGAAGTGCTGTGGGACTCAGAAAACTGCTACTCAGTACACACAACCTCACGTGTGTAACAGGATATCGCGTAAGCTCGGAGGTTGGTAGAAGTCTCAAATACGAAACCAGTCTTCTGTGTCGGTGTTTAGGACTCGTCAGCCTACCAGGACTGATGCAGCTTCTCGAATACACAAAGTCGCTCACACGTCCATCCATCTTAATGCATATACTTAAACTAAGAGTCAATTCACACCTATCCTGAAGCATAGTTTGCAAGGAACAAAATGCGTGATAAGCTTACACAGACTCCTGCTGAGCGAATACAAGTGTAGGTTTCCAATGAGTATGTCTGTATTGCAGAATCTGTCAAGGTATGTATACCCGATGAATACGCTCTCATATTCTCCCGCCTTTCTCGTGTGTCTTTACCGAAGTCGACAGTATTTTAGGTGTCATATTAGCCTAGTTCAGTACTCTCACCCTCTGACTGTGATTGTGACTAGAAGACTTACCTGTCTTCTGATGGACTGGGGTGATAAAATATCTACACCGGTGTGAAAGAACTATCTCGAGCTTCCAGAATCCAACTTGTTGTCCGGTCCACAATCTTTCGTTGTTTTGCTTAATCGCACCCAAATTCAAAGTATCTGGTCCTCTTGTTTATTCCCGTCTTATGTAAGATACAGTTTCTCCAACCTCAGATGGGGTTGGGGCATCAGTGCGTATATCCCACTCAAACTGGGTCAAAATTGTGGACGATTGTTGTGCAGCTTTATTTCAGTTGAGAACGCTGTTAAAAGTATTCTGTTCAGATTTCTGGAGTCTCTCATTGAACATTTAGAAACACGTGGGCAATATTTCTTATTCATGCGTATGCATTTAGCTAACCGACATCCTTATTTATTACAATGCAAGTTATTATTATGATTATTATCGTTATTCCCTGTAGCCTGAGTCGAACATATGACTTCAACAGTACATCTGTATTTCATCCGGTTCTCTGTAGTTGTCTCCGATTGGCTCCACGACTAAGCATAGGCTCTGATCTCCGCCTTACACGATCTCCTGCATGTTACATTCGGACACCCAGCTCGTGTATACCCGTTCGGGCCTGAAGCGCGATGTCATCATCGGTCTCCTCAGCGAGTGTCCAATCCATCTCCATTTTCTTCGGCATATTTGCTGGGCAACAGTTTCTCGGTTGGTTAACCCCCGGAGTTTCGTGTTCTTAGTCCTTTCCTCGATCTTATCTTCAGTACGGAGCGAAGACATCTGTCGGTAAAATTCCGCAGGTGGCTGTTGGAAATACTTCTGTTGGTACGCGAAGTGCCTGAACCATAGATTATAACTGACTTGACATCAGTGTAGAAAATCCAAATCTCGCTGTTTGTGCAAGATTTGTGCAGTGGCTTCCCGGACTGATTTCAGAATGATGGAGGTCTGTTTTTCCTTCTCGATCCCGCCTTTGACACCTTCATCCGTGACGCCTATAATTGTGAAACGATGCTGCCTAGACTAGCGAAAGAAGTGACTTCCCTCCCTTTGCTGGTATTTCTTGGTCTTCTTGTGTCTTCATCACCTCTGTGTCTGTAGAGTGCTGTCCCGTGTCTTGCTTCTTCTTCCTTCCTAGAAAGACTTTACAGCTTCCCCTCAAACGTCACCTTCAGAGAGTTCCAGTGCTCTTCCAAACGCGTTTCCTCGGCGATGCTACATAATGTCTCCGGTGTGGCTCTGATGGCTGCGGTGAACGTGTCCCTTGTACTTTCGTGGTGTGAACCCTCATCTGTCCCTAATTCCCATCTTGCGCTCATTAGACTGTGTCTCCTATTTATTCTGATTGAGATGAAGCCTGTCTGAACTCTCGTGTGTCCACCTGGTGAGACCCATAACGCCTTGTCGATATCCTCGCGCTTATTCCTCATCCCTCCAATTACCAAATCATCAAAGGCACAGAACCCTTCAAAGAGTTCTCCATTATTATTCATTCCATCGAGCGTCTCTCAACCCATTATGAGTTGCCTTCCTGTATTGTCTGTCCCAGTTTGGCTTGCATTCATATCACTTATCAGAATTTCGACGATTCACTCTGGCTCCTGTCTTGTCAATTACCGCTAGTAATTGTCTGTAGAATTCTCTCTTCCTCTCCTTCTCTGAATCTGCCTTGTTTTTACGTACGTGTGTAGCATTGTACAACTGTAAACCCTTCCTTCCTATGTGAGTCTTTCTCTTATGAACCTGGGGGAATTGTTTCTCACTGCATAAGAGCGCTGGATGCTGTTGGTGACATCGTGGTAGTCACTCCTTCAGTGTGCTCGTGGTGGTTGTTTTGGTAATAGAAGTAGAATATTGACTGGTAAGTTAACAAATGGAGAGTCCACATCCATTCCATCTGCTCTCAAAGATTACTAGGACTTCTATGGAGTGTCTTCTTGTCTCTTTAGCAATGTCAGCAGCCTCACGAGCTTCGTAAATTGTTTGGACATTCCATGTCCCCATATTTACTTTTGCTTTCATCGAGACGAGACAATTAGGCTGACTGGCTTCCAGAATTGTTTTAACAGACTACGTCTTTACGTCTGTCCGATTTCTGTGAAAATTAGTTTTATGTGTCAAAGATTTTCTTTCACACGAAATTTATTTGGCATTAATAAGAATAAGAATAATAATAATGATTTACTTTATTGCAAAAACAGTACTTGTGATACAGAATGGAATTTTCAGCATTAATCCCAATATTGCATCTAATTTCCTGAAATTATAAATAAAAATTAATCAGACAGAAAATTTTCCACATTTACAATAGAGGTAATGTCAAAAACATGCAGCATATAAAATGGAAATAGCAATAATAATGATAACAGCTAGGGCAATAATAATAATACAAGTGAAAATTGCCGTTGGCTTGTGTCACACAGTATTGGCAATGTGGTGTAGAAATCCTAACATGTTTAAAAATATTGAGTATAATGTTCTCTTTACATGATATGGTGAGGGGAAAAACAAAGATTACTGACGTCATGGAGATAAGTTGGTGTTTGCAATTATGAGAGTAAAACAGAGAAGTAACAGGACCATAAATATAATAGAAGTAATAAAAGTAAAACTTGAAGGTATATAAGGATGGATGGAGGAAATTGTTTATTTACTAGATGACAAAAGGTTACTTAATTCTTGTCTGACACTATTTTCATCATATAAAATACGTGCCAAGTATGGTATCATAGAATTCTTATACTTAGACGTTCAAGCATACAGTTTTCTGAAGTTACTCCTTGTTCTACCTGAGGAGATGCAAGGTGAAAGCTGAGGGTAAAGCGGATGCTCCAAGTCAGACAAAATCCCTTTAGCAAATTTATTTCATGAAGTCAAGTGCCTATCGACAACGACGTTAACTATGTGGTCCACTGGGACACCACTCACCCTACTGACAGTCTTCAGTATTCTACGAATTGTGACATAGTCCTTTTTAAGCAAACCAGGAAAGAATAACGGTGAGCAATAAAGAAGAATAGGTAGGATGCAAGAGTTTATGAACTGTAAGAGGAGGGGTTGAGTTATACCCGAGTGTCTTAACTTCATTTTTGGTGGTACGGTCGCTAGCGTCACACTGAACCTTATCTCTTCTTCTTGCCGTATGACTGGCTAGTAAACTAGTGAAGTGGTAAATTTGGCGAGATTTTAATTCGAGTTAATGCTACTTAATTTTAGTGAAAATGACTTTGTGAGTGATGAGTATATCATACTTTTATCTTTATGATCACTCAGTCTACATTCCGGGCTATATTTGTATTCCCGAGAAGTCTGCGTAAAGTCAGTGTTTCCCTGTACATAAAAGATGACTTATAAGTGGTTATTTCAACTGGAATAGGCTCCAACTAAC